TTTTTATTATTCAATTATATTAATTTGTTTTTGTTTTAATAATTTAACGTACTTAAACGTATTAAACGTTACTTACTAGTTTTTCTATAAACAATTTAAAAAAAAAACATATTATTTAACTTAATTATTATTAATTTTATCATAATAATTGACTGGCAAATTTATGTTAGCCTAGAAATAATCGTAAATAAATACCGGGTGGGGCGAAACAGACAGTGCAGTTTTGAAAGGCTATTAAAAAAAAACTACGCAACTTACAGTAATTATGTTTATTTAATTTTCTTCAGTATATCATGCTTTTATTTATCAAGTTTTTAAAATGACATCAGAAAAATGATGGCCGCCTGCAGCGATACATTGATGAAAAGGTGATTTCTGAAGTTTTCTACTACATTTGACACATTTCKACTGGTATAGCGCCAATTTCCTCCCTAATTAGCTCTTTGAGTTCTTCTAAGGTGTGAGGCCAATGTTTAAAAACCTTTTCCTTCAGATAGCCCCACAAGAAAAAMATCACAAATGCTYAAGTCCGGTGAGCGGGCGGGCTACTTCCACTTCTCTGAGAGACGAGGTGTGTAAGGAACATCTGTCGCAGCTTCGACATTGAAACTCGAGCAGTATGTGCCGTAGTCTTGTTGGAACCAATGTCCCCCATATCTGTTTCTTCCATTATCTTTTCCAATTGAGTTTCAAAAAATTTGTCCAACATGGAAACGTAACGTTGAGCGTTGACCGTTAYGGTTTGTCCATTCAACATCAAAAAAATAAGGCCCGATCCCCGAATTTTGAAATTGCACACTACATGGTCACTTTTGGGGAGTGAAGAGGTCTCTCGTGAATTTGCCGAGGATTATTTTCTGCCCAATAGCGAAAATTTTGTTTATTCACTACTCCACTGAGATGAAAGCGATCCTCGTCACTACTGAAAAATGTTGACCTCACRTGGATCCGGTTCAACATTTCTTGTGAGCAATTCACGCGATTTTTATAGTCAAACGATTTTCAAGAGTCAACTCGTGGAAAATCATAATCTTGTACGGGTGGAAAAATAAGTCTTGATGCAAAATCYTCCTTACTCAGCGGTTAGAAATGCCCAATGCAATTGAATGCTTCCGGATAGAACGCGTAGGCGACTGCACAATAGCTTCTCTCACTCTTGTCAAATTTTCGGGTGTTCTTGCCGTTTTGGATCTTTCTTAACCCCTAGGTTTTAGTGTAGAWCCAGTTTCTTCAAATGTACGCACCCAACTCGCGATTAAATTACGGTGAGGGACAGTATCATGACGCGCAAGGTTAAACTGCAGCCGGAAAGCTCGATGAGTTGCGATGAAAGATCAACCATTTTCAAAAAACGTATGGATGGCGAAGCCCCGTTGTTCACCAGACCAAACCATGGTAATGRCTGATAACTGAATGGCCCACCCATAGAGTAATATTACTCTATGGGCCCACCCRAYGAAATGAGACCATCATAATCGCACTAACACCATCACACGGGAAGTACCWATCTTACAAAACTGCACTGTTGTCTGTTTGATTCACCCCAAGTATTATTTATACTCAGCGTCAACTATTTGTGGTTAATGAATTATAAAATTTACTTTTAGAACTTAGCTTTGAGCTTAGATTTTATTGTGCTGTATTGCTGTATATACAGTTAATAAAAATAAAAATGCTGTTAAAAGTTAAGAACTTTATGTATAGTTCCATACAATAATTTTAGTAATTTTGATATTTACCAATTAGTGCAGTGGATAAAT